GGTTTGGAGGCTTGCAGAGTGCTCCTGGGGCTGGGGAGGGCAAAAACTGGATGTGTGGGGGGTTTGAGAGGCCAAAAACAGGCCCATTTTTTGCAAAAATGGGAAGCACAGAGAGTTTAGGAAGCTGGCAGAGTGCTCCTGGGGCTGGGGAGGGCAAAAACTGGATGTGTGGGTGGTTTGAGAGGCCAAAAACAGGCCCATTTTTTGCAAAAATGGGAAGCACAGAGAGTTTAGGAAGCTGGCAGAGTGCTCCTGGGGCTGGAGAGGGCAAAAACTGGATGTGTGGGTGGTTTGAGAGGCCAAAAACAGGCCCATTTTTTGCAAAAATGGGAAGCACAGAGAGTTTAGGAAGCTGGCAGAATGCTCCTGGGGACCGGGCAGGACAAAAACTATTTTTTTTCCTTGTTTTTCTCTTTGAAACCTTGGTTCATCTTACTCTCTGGTGCGTCTTATGGTCCGAAAAATATGGCAACTCCATAAGTTGTGGTCATAAGTTGAGAATTACCTATACTAGTATAATGGCAATCATACTTTTTGTGACTTTAACAAGCAGATATGCAAATAAGAACAAACCAGGTTTAGATTTCCTTCCCATTATGTTCAACCAATTTGTTTGCAATTCTTCCCTGGTATAGTAATTTTTGCATATCTGGCAGCTGTTAAAAAAATAGATTATATGGGCCAATTAGAAAGGCAAGCAAACTCAACCTACAGCATGGTTAATACCATTTTTAGTGGGGAAAAATGGATGTGCCCTACAAAGAAAATTGCTAATTGCTGTCTTTAAATGAAGAGCCTAAAAGCTGGATCTATGTTTTACATTACATAAAGGGGAACACAGCAAAAATTATGTATCTTCTCTCTCCAGCCTGGAGGAGATAATATATATACTACACAGTGGAGTGCATGTTTATTCTGGGGAAATACAATAATCCGTTGCTTTTAGTAGCTGAAGAAGTGCAGCTGCCCTGAATAATAAATAATAGAAAACCTTTGAAAATCAAGCCAAGATACAGAGCTGTAATTAATCTGTCTACTTTTTAAATGCAAATAAATAACCCATGAGTAAAAATCAAAGGAAATATGCTGTTTAGTAATAGCAGTCCTCTACTAGCAGCTCATAGTAAGAGAGATTTATTGTTGTTTATTGTTTATGTTATATTAGCAGGGGTCTCCAAACTTGACAACTTTAAGATTTGTGGACTTGCTGGCTGGGGAATTCTGGGAGTTGAAGTCCACAAGTCTTAAAGTTGCCAAGTTTGTAGATTGCTGCTATATAGGGTTGCCTGCAACATGGTAAGCAGAAAATCTATAGATGCTGCTCTTCTGGTCAATACATTTGTCTTCATGCTAGGAAAAGCTGAACCTTAGATATTTGTCCACTTTTACAGAGGCCACCTCTGATTTTAAACTTTATTATCTATTTTCACTGAGAAAGCAGCTGCTATTTCAGCTAGTTATATGTATTAGTCAATCAGTGAGATTGAACTGATTCCTTCATTCTGATTATTTCTGGCCAGCCTTTATCTCTAGATATACTCAAACTTTCTAGTATATACATACCTGCATTTGCACACATTTATCATTGTGTTGTGGTTTTTCCCTTCCTTCTCCTGCTCAATAAATCTAAAGTTTTCTCTGTGCAGCTGTGAAGTGCTACTACACACATGACTGGTATTTAGAAATCATAGACGAAGAACAAAGGGAAACAGAAAATAAAGTCTAAAGTTCTCCCTTCTCCACTTGGTGCCTTTCCATTGTATTGTACCTACAACTTTCAAAGTTCCCAGCTAGTGCATAAAGGGGTAGTTCTGAAATGTGGTTGATAATCAGCCATAGTAGACATTGCAGAGGAGAGCTATGTTGGTCTATGTTCCTATGCCTTGCATAGCAATAAAAATTATGACCCATTGTGGTCGTAAGTCAAGGACTACTTGTTGCTATGCAAGACAGTTAGGTGAATTTTGCCTCATTTTATGACCTTTTATGACACTTAATCACAATTGTTAAGTTAATTGTTGCAGTTAAGTTAGTAACACAGTTGTTAAGTGAATGCGGCTTCCCCATTGACTTTACTTGTCAGAAAGTTGCAAAGATGATCCTGAGACATTGCAATTGCAATAAATACATGCCAGTTGCCAAATCTGAATTTTGATCAGGTGGCCATGGGGATGTTTCAATGGTCATAAGCAGAGGTGGGTTCAGATTTTTTTACTGTCAATTTGCTCAGTGATGCGCTTCATGCATGTGCTTGATTCGCCCTATGCGCACATGCACAGTAATGAACAAATTGCTTCTGCACATGCGCAGAAGCAAAAAACAAAATGGCGGTACCGTAGATGCCGCCAAAAGAACCGATTTGGGGGTGTGGGTGCCGAGTTACTACCTACTCAGCTGAACTGGTCCAAGGAATCCACGTTTTTCAGCATTGTTGTAACTTCAAACAGTCACTAAACTACCCTATTTATCAGATTATAAGATGCACTTTTTTGTCTCCCAGAGGTGGGGTCAAAATGTCTGTGCGTCTTATAGACTGAATATTGCCGAAGCCCCGCTCAACCACCAGCCATTTATTGGCCTCCGCATGCCCCGTTTTCGGACCTTTTTCAGGCCTTTTTGGCCAATTTTTGAGATTTTTTTCACCCCTTTTTTGAGGCT